TGGATTTCCCAGCCCGTAGAAATGCGGGCCATTTTGGCCCGCCCCGTTTGAACCGCGGGCCGGAGCGGGCCGGGCCGGACCGGTCCGTTTGACAGTGCTAGTGCTAATATATTAGGGGGGATATGTTGTAAGTTAAACAAATTATTATAATATAACACAGGTAAGTCGCACAAATAAAAAAATGTCATACTAAATATATATATTTATAAAAGGTATTGAAATTATTTTTCTCATTAATTTTATATTAAAAAAAATAACAAGCACCCGTGTAATACACAGGCGTTGTACTAGTTTTTCAATATCCCTCCTATATATAATTCTCGAATGCGCTGAGCCTACGTGGCTGTTTCTAGTGCTTCGGAATTCTATTTGGCGAAGAATCATGCTTCGTAATTAGGTTTGGACAAATAATATTGATATATTAATAATTAATAATCTAGGTTCAGACATTCTATAAATATTATTTAGCTAACTTAAGTATTTTAATATCATTGTAGTAATATAACCCTCTAATTTTTTGTAATTTTACATAGTGAGACACTAAGTGACTAATATATCACTGACTTTTGATTTGTTTCCTTCAATTAGCTATTGAATTGTAAATGTATTTAAAAAGTTGATTACTTTTGTATTTCTTATTGGTTTTGCATATATAATATATCAAATTAATCATCTTTTGATGATCTTCGATTTGACATCCATATTGTATATATGAAATAAATAAATTATATTTATCTTTATAATAATAAAAAATAATAATATTTATCAAAATTCATTAAAAAAATAAAATTATTCTCAATTCATATATTATGTTTCATGTAGTTATATGTTGTAAGTTAAAAATTATTATAATATAACACATGTAAGTCGCACAAATAAAAAGTGTCGTACTAAATATATAATAATATATATATTTTTATAAAAGGTATTTAAATTTTCAACTACTTTTTCTCATTAATTTTAGATTTTAAAGAAAAAATTAGCGAGCACCCGTGTATAGATAGATATAGATTATGATGTGTAATAAAAAAAACAAAGGATAAAATTTTGACCATTGGATTAAATAATATGATCCAATGGTTATTAAAAACTCTGCTGAATGGCCCCCCGATCCGTCTCTTTCTCCCTCTATCCAGCATTTCTCGTATCCACTGCAGCTCTCTCTAAATTGAGGCATCGCAGCACATCGATTCAAAATACATAGAGATATATGGTGTGTTTAAGTCCGTACATCCTCTTCTGACTCTATTCCCCTATTTCTAGGGTTTATGATTTATAACTACAGCTAGTAGTCGGACTCAGATTCGAATGTGAATTTCAGTTTGGCAGTGACTGAGGGTTTTGTCGAGCCTTAAATTTTTCTGCTGTTCATCGATCTAGGCGTCAATGGATTCGACACCTTCCTCATTGCCATTTGCCACGAGGGATGGGTTGGCAGCAGTGGCTGGATTGGTGGAGGGCGATGGTGCTCTGTCGGTTGCCTCTGGGTTAGCTAAGGAGGCGGCTCTGCTCTTCCAGGCCGGGAAGTTTGTGGACTGTTCGAGAGTTTTGATCGAGTTATCTCGAAAGAAAGAGAACGATCCCAAGGTAATTCTGAATTTTCGGATTTGATTAAGGGTTCTTGCACCTAACTGGAATGGGTTTTTGAGAAGAGTGACTTCTGCACCTTGTATTCTTGGAAAATTCATGTTGATTTACTTGGATAATGCATGCCTGGGTTAACTTAAAGTAGATTTTAACGGATTAAATAGAAAAGGTCTGTCTATGCGAGCTGTCCTTGCTGCAAACGGATGTTGAAGTTTCCATTGGATGCATGCTATGCGCAGTCTGTAATGTAATTCATTGTTATGCTTGGTCTTGTCAAGTATTCTGTAGATTTTTGGAATGCAAATTCTTTCTACTTTTTAGCGCTTTTGAGTTAATTGTGATGTGGGTTAGCAGAAAGTATTTATTATGGTTGGGCAGTCTTGACATTCTTTTGTTTAATTATTAAGTAAACACTATTTGGTACTTGTAATAACAGGAGGAAGGAAGTATCTAATTAGTTTCTTAGTTAGTATACCATGTCGGAAATTATAAGTTGTTGTACTACTTCAATCTTGATAAAAATTGTTTAAAAGTTAAGTTTGGCCATGAATTAATATGCAATGCGTTTTCGTTGTTCAAATGACTTCATTTTGATATGAGAATGCATGCGCGCTGACAAATACATATTTGCGCTAAACTCTCCACTTTTCTTGTTGTTCTTAGGCAAAAGGTGCATCAAGTAGAAGCATGTTCTCAGGCACTATTGAAACCTTATATTATTAACATTTTGAAGCAATCTATATCATGGAAGATATGCTGTTAAGTATTCTTATTATTATTCCCTTCAGTTCCATAGACATGAATAGTTGTTGGCCCCTAAACTCTTTTTACAATCTCCTCCTTCAATCTCATACCTGAGTAATAGTTGACCATTAAGTGACTAAGTATTTGCTCTAGTTCATACTTCACATTGTACGTTAGAATATATTGACCTTAAGAAGAAATGAAGAACCGGCGCCTCTGCCCATAGGGAGGTCCGGGAACAATCATTTGTGCTTGCAACATGACTTTATTTTGTTTGAGTTATGGATAAACTCTATAGATTACTATTTGATAGTTTTGTAACTGACTAACTTCTAATACATAAGTATGTTTTGTGGTCTATCTTGTTGTGATTGGTGATCTGCTACTTTCACAATTCCGTTACTCATAACTTTTTGTGAAGTTCTTTATTTCTTGTATAATTCACTGGTCCTATTCATTTTGTAACATTGATGATTTGACTACAGTTTACTAGACATGTATAGAGTATCTTTCTTAGTAATTTCCTTTTATATTTTTGTACACACACACACACATATTCTGTTTTTTTTAGTATTTTGATATGTGCTATAATTCTGATAGTAGTGGTTGTCATTTATCAAAAGGGTTTTGTGTGCTCATGTTAAGGTAAAAATATTAGCTCATTCATAGGTTAGTTTCATCTACATGTACTGCACATAAAACATCTTTATGTTACTTAATGTGAAGACGGAAGTTTAACTGGTAAGATGAATTCGTATTCATTATTAGATTGGTGGAATACTTTAGTGTTTGGTTGATTAACAGTCTTGTGCTATGAATTATATATATATACATGTGGAGTAAGTCATATTTTATAAATAAATTGGATTAACAAAATGAAGCTTTAGTTGATTAGACACATTGTTGGATTAGATGACACCGTTAAAAACTCAGGAATTATTATGTTTAGTGGAAAGTAATTCCTTAGCCTAGTTAGATACCATATGAAGATGCCCGAGAAAACCCCTGTATCGCTTTAGAGTGGGTTTGTCAGTGAGAATAAAGCTTCTAATATAATAGTGTGTGAGTTCGAAGTACTCATTTCAGTATCGAACTTACTTGGCTCCAAAACCTTGAGTGAAGGATGGTGATTTTCTTTAATGCCACTGGTATTCTTGATATTTTTTTCTCTCCAAAGTTCTAATGTATCCTTCGTCACTTTTTAGGTGCGTCATAATATTGCCATTGCGGAGAACTTTCAAGATGGTTGTTCGGATCCTAAAAGGCTTATTGAAGCACTTGAAAATATCCTGGTTAGTGTTTATATGATACTCCACAACAACAATACGGGTAATTTGTAAATTTTTTGTCTTGTTTGCAATCTATATATTTCGTTTTTGCATATATTGGTAAAGTGAAGGGCAGAATACCAGAAGTAATTCAAAACTTAGATTGATAATTAACTGAAAACAAAAGGGAAGAAAAAAAAAACAATTGCAGGCGAGCCTGCTCCAAGCGCGAACGCAGATCCGGATTTTCCTGCCTAAGTGAAAGGGTCCTCTATTTTTTTTTCTCCTCCCCTTAAAAGACTTAACCAACTCTACTTACATAAAACAAATTAGGGTAATTAAGCAAAAGCCCAGTCCATCATGTTATTTTAGCCCTAAATATATAACTTAACTAATATATGGAAATTTAAATATAGATACATATCATATGTGCTTCAGAAGGTGTGCTTCTCATTTGATTATGAGTATTGCAAAATGAGTATTTTTAGGCTCTTAGTTGATTCAAGTCCGCGGTGAAATGGAATACTTAAAAGTAGTCTGTCATATGTGAACTTGTTTTATTAACCAACAGATGAGGGAAATTAAGACTTTGTGACACCCCTTCATGTTTGAATTCACAAACACAGCTTTGGCTATGAATTCCAAGACGTGGAAGCAATCTTTTTTTTTTTATTTATTTTTATTTTTGTATTATTATTATTTCCTTCTTGCTAGGTTACCTTAATTTCAGGTATTTTGCCCGGAAACTAAGATGATTGGTGATGTATATCACAGACTTGCATGCCCAAAACTTTTACAAGTAACACTGCAATGGGCTAACATCCAGTCGTTTGGATGTGATATTGGAGTTTTTGGTGTTTTTTAGCATTTGGAGAGTATGATTCATATAGATCCAAGTTATTGCTTCTGAAAGTAATGAATTGTAGATTGATTTCAATCTGTAACTTAATCTAGTCTGGTTCAGTTGATAGTTCTTTCCCCTGTTCTTATAATTTACCCATTCATTTTTCATTCTGTTATTCAATTGACTGCCTAATTGTATTCTTTGCACATTCACCTGAGCTTCTTAGTTGTCTACTGTTGTTTTGTTTCCTTGGCTACTATAAACTCTTGCAAGCTTGACCTGAGTCCACTTGAATCTAAGAGAATGTAAGTGATGCTGTTTGTTACTCTGAAGGCTGACATTTTTTTCTCTCCTCCAGTATCACCACCTCAAGCTGATACTTATATTTTATGTTATTATATACATGACAATTGAAATATATAATTATATAATAAAGCAGTGGTTCAAATGTGTAATTTTTTATTTTTTATTTTTTATTTTTAATTTTCGTGGTTTTGGAGTGGCATTTATTATATGCTTAGTTGAAGATACCTTGCTGAATGTTCATATTGGATTGGAAATGAAATGGTGTTTGCTTGAGTAGTTTTATGCATGAAAGTATGCGGTACAATTTAAACTAAAGTATGTTAAGATGCATTTGTTTATCTTGGTTCAATTTAAATTTCTTAAGCAATTAATTTGATTTGTCTGTATTTTTTTTCTTGAAAATTTCACATATATAAACTAAATTTGTATTTCGATGTTACTTTTAAGGAATATTGAGGATGTGCTCTTTTGAAATTGTAGCCTGGATTTATTTTTCATTGTTATCGCACACTAGAGGCTATTCCCATTTTTCTCGTGTTGAACTGAACACTTTTATACTGGACATCACGTTCTCCCCAGTTTACCTTTCGCTATTCGCCTCGCCCCTCATCAGTCTGCCTATCCCAACCCCAAAACAAACATGGTGGATAAGCATCTGCCGGTATCTTACACGATGTTCAGGCATCAAGCCCTCTAGCTTCCTCGCCTTTTTTTCCTTCTTGGCAACACTTGAAAGGGAAATCCTTTTTGGCTGTTTACCTCAGTCGTAAATGTGTACTTCCTTCTTCTCCTAAACTTCTTTTCTTCTGTTCTCAGCTCTCACTAGTTGACCGATTCCGTAGCAATGCGGTCGATGAGCATATGTAACTAGAGCCCCCCAATATTGTCTTGCCATATAATTGTGATGATGGTATTACAGAAGTTAAGAGGAATGGGTGGTACCAATTTGGGGCATTGCTGGGTTTGGTTGAAAATTTGAAAATGAGGAAAGCTGGGATATGGTGGGATTTTAAAGATAGTGTAGGATAAGTAACTGAAATTTGGTGAAAAATAGTTTTGAATGTGTTGATAGATAGTAATGTTCAATGAACATTCGTTAGTAAACCTGTCTGTAATTTAATAAAACTTAAAATACTGATTTCAAAAGGGAAACACGCAAGAAGTGTATTTTAGTATTCAACCTTTAACCTCCTAGTCTGTAATCTGAATCTCTGTCAGAGTTACTCGTTGTAAGACAATTTCCTAAATAATAGAATGACTTCACTCAAAAATATGTTTATTAGCTGGAACAACAAATAGCTAATACGTGAAGAAAGAGCATACTTAATTTTATCATATGCATGACCGTGGTGGCTACTCTTAATAAAAAGAAACGCACCCAGGTCTGAGCATATGGCTATTGTTTTCAAGCAGAGCTTCTTTATATGTTTGTTCATTGTGTTATCATTTAAGATCGCTTGAATTTCTTCATCTAGTACTTTTGCCTTTGGTATTGTATCTGCAGCAGCATTTTTGCCTATTCATTACTTCTGAGTTCAGACGAACACAATATTACCTTGTAAACTGGTGTCAAGAGTCCTTTAAAGGATTGCTTTCTGCATTGATATGGTTTTCTTGGTTGTGGATATAGAACCTTTATGTGTGCATGAATTTTCATTATCCTTGTATATATGTTTAATTGACTTTCGTTTCTTCTCATTTAGAAACATAGTGAGGAGCTTGCTCATACGTCTGGAGAACACTTGGAGATTACTGACAATGATGGAAAGAAAGCAATGGCTGGCATGAAGGCACTTAATAGTGCTGTGCTTCATCTTTCTAGTTCATCTGTTTTATACAATGACGAGTTTGACACCTCAGTTGCAATGTTTAACTTGGTATGTTTTACTTATTGTGATTGCTGGGTCCTTTAGTTGCCTGAAATTGTTGTTATCTATATCTTAGTTTCTATTTATGAACCTGATTGCAGGCTGTTATCTGGTTTCATCTTCATGACTATGCCAAATCATTCTCATATTTGAACACATTGTATCAGAACATTGAACCCATTGATGAGGTAACAATAGCACACTAGAAGGAATCCATTTTCTAACAATTGGGATAGGGTCTGTGTGCTTAACTTATGTAAGATGACTTGCAGGGAACAGCCCTTCGTATATGTCTTTTGTTGCTGGATGTTGCATTACTCTTTCACCATGCATCAAGATCTGCTGTAAGTTCCCTGTGCTTAACGGGATATATTTAAATTTTAAATTCATGACTCTGATTGACCTATGTAAAGGTATATGGTATCATTTTACAAAGTTTCTGGTTTAATATTTTTCTTGATTGCATAGGCATTATAATGCCATATTCATGGACAGAACCTTGAATTCTGATGTATGAGAATGTAGTTTCTTTTATTATTGGCATATCTAAGATAAGACCATGCATTTGGTTTGGATAGTTACACTGAATAATTGAGTCAAAAAAGATTGTGTGCCTTTACTTGCAATAATCAGATGAGTTGTGTGACCTTAATGCACATAAATGAGTTGTTGAAAATCAATTGCAAGGTACTTTTGTATTCTTGTCAATGACGTTAATAGTATGCCATGTGAATGGTGTTATACCAATACAATGAGGTTATTCCTAAATGGTTTTAATATAATGTCACTACTCAATACCTTTTGGGAGTTTGGTGAATTGGATCCATGTTAGAACTCCTATCGCAGTTGGTCAAATTTAAATTTCATCCCTATTGAAACATTAAGGTAAAATCTTTCCTCCTTTGAAGTGGGATGGATTATAACTTTCATGACTATACAAGCTATATGAGTTCACACAACAAAGAATTAGTCATCTGATGTTTGATTCCTAATGCTGAATCAAATCCTGTCCTGTTAATGATCTTATGGACTTATTGTTCTCTTCTTTGATGCTAACTGAAGCAGCTCATGCCTTTTTTTTTTTTTTTTTTTAATATCCTGTGTCCAGAAGTAATACAATGAAGTGCTCCAGGTTTGTACTAATCATGTAACGATACATGGCATTGAATCTATGACTTGCTTGGTTTCTGCTTGTACAAAGTTGTTTGATTCCGTAGTCCATGAGAAGTAATTGGAAGAGAATCATGTAGATTCTTAGAAACATAAGGGTGATAGATTACCTTCTAAAATTGTTAGGTTGATTATCTTTATTTAAATAAGAGTGCATTAACATGTCGTGTGAATTTTCCGATACTCCATCTGGCTTTCAGAGGGACGATTTTAAGTAAATATTAGCAGTTTTAGTTGTGTTAGGAGGTCCCTTTTTTTTTTTTGCAATAAATATGGAGACCATTTGGAAAATTCATATGAGGAATAAAATCAATCTCTGCAATTCTTCATCTTCTCAATTTTGTATGTTCCAGAAGCTTATCAAAGTTGCAATGTATATGCAGTTTTTTAACATAGTTCTAGGGAGAATATTTCGATTGTACTGCATATCAATTAAAGTTAGAACTAAATCCCTTCTACGAGCTTCACATTATTCTGGTCCGATGTTTAGTGTGATCTTCCTGTGGAATAACCTTATCTGTAATTCAAAGATGCTGACACTCCTTCTGACATTATTTTTAAGCACTGCTAGGATATCCATGACCTGCATTTCTTGTACTTTTGGACCTTTTCTTTTCTAATTCAATCTATTCATATTTGGAAACATTTCTATGAAAGGTCATCTGGGGTTGATGTGTATTCTTTGTTCTTGAAATTCAGTCCTTTCTAGAATTTCTTAAAACATGCGTGTGTATGTGCGTGGGATACGGAATAGGGTGCTTGTTGAGGGTGCGGGCAAGTATTGGTGGATATAGGGGTTTAACACTGAATAGGTTTTTGTTCCTTCTCGTTTTGGAATATGATAATGATTTGAGCTGAATATTGAATATCAGAAGATAAGACGGAGTTGTCTGACCTAAAGGTTCGTTATTGTATTTGAGTGACAAATAAGTTGTACTTTAAGTACCTTTGGGGTAGGGGTGGAGGTGTGGGGGCTGCCACCTGAGGCGCCCAATGTTAAGAATAATGAAATATATAAAATCTGTAGACTTGTGTGATTCTTTCTAGCAGAGTTTTTCATCCGGCCCATCCCACTTTTTCATGCTAAGACATTGGCTGTCCATTCCCTTCCATTCAGTCAGTTCTCTTATTTTGAGTGTGTTATATGCATTGCACTATAAGAACAATAAGTAATGTGAATTTATTATATTCTTGAAAGAGATAACTGAGGATGTGGTTGAATATGGTTTTATTTTGTTTTTTTTTTTTTTTTTTTTTTTTTTTTTTTTTCTTTTTCTGCTAGAGAATATGAAAAAGATTTTGGAAGAGTGGATCTAAGAATGTGACTGGGAACACGTTGAAAGTTGATCGAAATAAAAATATCAAATAATAATTGGAAGTTAGAAATACGCAAGTTGGTCAGTAGTGCAGTGATTCAGTGTTTTGCAGGTGTTTATACTTTTTGTGAAAATACCAGAAGTGAAAAATTTGAGTAGCGTTAATTTTGAGTGGTTACATGAACAATCAGATTCTGGGGTAGAATATTTTTCAATAGAAACAAAATGAGATGGAATTTATGCAAAGGACCTGAATTTTTGTTCCTGTTTCTGATTGTGACCATCTTTATGGGTAGCGTTCTCTATTGGAGCTGGTGTTTGTTTAAATCTATTTGGAAATTTCTACTCACTCTAAACTTGAAATTTGGAAAATATACGTAGGACTAACTTTAATTATAAGGTGATGATTTTCTAGTGTTTTTAATGTTATCCACTTGTTAGTTAACTAATGAAACTCAAGTTATTGCTGTGTGCTGTTTTTATTTCATGTGGATGAGCTGATTAAATTTTCTTCAGGATGTTATAAGCTACATGGAGAAAGTTTTTTGTGTCAATAACTTGATCAGTCAAGTAGAGAATGGAACCTCAGCACAGCAACAATCTTCTTTTGTTACAAAGTCTACTTCCCTACCTAGCCACTCGACTGCTACCGATTCTTCTCATCCTGACTTCGTTCCTGCAAATACATTGGAGAACTCTTTAGCCAGAACTTTGTCTGAGGAAGCACTTGAAGATGAATCATTGCAGCTGCTATCTTCTCTAGACATCAGTGGGCAAAACCTTCAGAGACTTTCTGGAATTGCATGTTCCCATGATCTTTTGAAGAACCAATCTGAGGACTCCTTATCCATCACTGACTTAAGGCTTAAGCTGCATCTTTACAAGGTTCGCCTTTTGCTTCTCACACGGAATCTGAAAGCAGCCAAGCGTGAAGTCAAGATGGCTATGAACTTAGCTCGTGGCAAGGATTATCCCCTGGCTCTTTACTTAAAATCCCAGCTCGAATATGCCCGTAGGAACCATCGCAAAGCAATCAAGCTTCTGATGGCATCAAGCAAGCGCACGGAGACCGGAATCTCTAGCATGTACTACAACAATCTCGGGTGTATCTATTACCAACTGGGGAAGTATAACACATCGGGTGTATTCTTCTCCAAAGCACTAAAGAGCTGCTTGCTTGTGCGCAAAGAGAAACCTCTGAAACTTGTAAGTTTGTCGCAGGATAAGTCCCTTCTGGTATCGTATAACTGTGGTATGCACTCGTTGACCTGTGGCAGACCTTATCAAGCTGCCCGCTGTTTTCAAAAGGCGAGCCTAATTTTTTACAACAGACCCCTTCTGTGGTTAAGAATCGCCGAGTGCTGTCTGATGGCTCTGGAAAAGGGTCTGATAACATCGAACTCTTGTTCTCCCAGCAGACCTGATATCAGAGTTGACGTTATTGGCAAGGGAAAATGGAGGCATCTTGCTGTGAGTTATGGACACTTGTTGAGTGGGCAGTTGGAATATGTACGGAAGGATGAGTCGGTTGTTGGTGATGGGAAACAGCCCGAGCTCTCGATATCTCTTGCGTGGCAGTGCCTTGTCAATGCTTTGTATTTGTTGGATTCTTTTGATGCGAAGTCTGGCTCTGGTTCGCTACCTGGTACTGTGGAAAATGAGTCCAGAGAAATAATGTTTCCAACAAACCACAAGATTGTTGGGGGTGGTGACAAGGAACCTAATGTATCATCTGGTCCAGGTCAAGTTAGTTTGAACGGTGTTGATGTGAAAGAGCAGAAGTGTGCAAACAATTCGAGCGCATCACTGCAGAATTCTGTAATTGACTTCCAAAACCTTTGCATGAAGGAGAACCACATGATGAAGCAAGCCGTGCTCGCTGATTTGGCTTATGTGGAGCTGGCGCTGGGAAATCCATCAGAAGCCCTATTGACTGCAAAGTCTCTTTTGGAACTTCCCGAGTGTTCTAGAATATATGTCTTTCTGGGGACAATGTATGCAGCCGAGTCTCTGTGCCTACTAAATCAGCCCAAGGAAGCAGCTGAATACTTGATGAAGTATGTTTCAAGTGGGAATCATGTTGAGCTACCTTACAGCCGAGAAGACTGTGAAAAGTGGAAAGTGGAAAAAATGCTCGACAATGATGATTCGCAAACTGGGCAGGTAGCTTCTCATGCTGTCGTGTCACCTGATGAGTCCCAGGGATCATGTGTGTTTTCTAGTCCTGAAGAGGCACGTGGAGTATTGTTAGCGAACTATGCTGCCAACTTTGCTTTGCTGGGAGACATCGAGCGGGCTCAGCACTTTGTTATGATGGCATTATCAGATATACCTAAAAGTCCACAAGCTATACTTACAGCAATCTATTTGGATCTCAAGTCCGGCAAGACACAAGAAGCAATTGAGAAGTTGAAACAGCATGGTGCTGTAAGGTTTTTCCCGGGAAGTTCTAAGTTGATTGGATCTTGATTGTTTTGTGAGTTAACAGGTAGCCTGACAGTCCTTTTAAGAAGGATGTGTAACATATATATCGCTCGATTCGGGAATAAGTTTACATTTTCCTTTTTTTTCCTTTTTTTCTTTCTTCTTCTTTATAAATGTTCAATTTTAGCATTTAGTGACTGGTGGTGTGGCTTCATTTTGTTGAATAGAGATTTCCCACCTCTAGTATTCAAGATGTACTTTTGATTCAGAATGATGTGCCTTTTAGAGGTAGATTTCGTTTGGACTTGGTGCATATAGAGGGAAGCATGCGCTCGACTCTTGAGAAGATGCAGAACTGGTACTGGCATGTTCCTATTTGTAGATGTTATTCAGGCATTTCAGTTTAAACTGGACTCACAAAGGTTGTAGCGACATGACAGGTTCTTCTGTCAACTTCATCACTTGAGCAAGTAATTCTTGCGAGTTATTGGGATTAAGAATTTGAACTTTATAGTGTTTGTGCCAGATCCTTTTAGACTTTATTTGTTTCGTATAATGGGGTGAGATCAAACTAATATATAGTTGGTGGATTGGTAGTTTAAATAGGATGTGTCACTCCTTGTAATATTTGTTTCCTTTGATAGATATCTCATGGTACACAATTTGGCATTGGTAATTTTGCCCCCATTCCAAAGTATTTGCAGTTGAGGTAATTTTTTATAGAAATTTCTTTCAAATGAAGATCTGAAAATTTCTTTCAATGGAAAATATTCATCAGCGATCAATGGTTGAAATAAAAACACCATTACTTGATACAAGCATCTAGTAGACGAAAACTAGTGAACCGTGATGTAGCGCAGAAAAAGCTAAGTGGACTGGCTTGAGCCATTGGTTCGGGTCCGGCCAGTGTAGCAAGCTTGCTTATGTTGTCTAGCGTGATAAAGCCCGTTTATGCAGTTTACAAGATATATGGTATTTGTTAAATATCTATATAAGGAAAAATTCATAAAAAAGATAGAAGATATGTATATTTATACAGTTACTAGTATGTAACCCGTGCAATGCACGGGCTAGTACATGTTTTGGAAAATTTTAAAAAATTTAAAAGTCATTAATTAATAAGTTATTATAATACGTATGACATTCATAAATTAAACATAAAATCGTCATTGGTAAAAAGTTATACATTATTAAAAACCTCTTTATATACAACGTTATTAGTTGATTACTGGGTAACTCATTATCCCCAAAAACTAATATTTTCAACCCCTTCTATTAGTAACACGTGAAACAACGACGTATAACTACGTATAGCTGGCCATGACTAAAAAAAGGTTTTTTCAAGAATAGTCCAACATGTGATAAAGACTAACCCTTACTCTTGTTTATGGTCATGGCATTGGATACCATAAGGGGAAATTGACTCCGTTGGAACTTAAACGGAACCCTAATATCAGAAGGAGTTATGTTCATCCGAGGAATCAACACCTTCTCACCTGCATGATCTCCAGTCAATATCCTACATTCAAGAACATGCAGAGAGAGCTTCGTAACAACCAAACGTGTGCCATTACACAGACCCACAGAATGGTCCATGTTTCGCAACAACATGACCGTAGTTCCTATCTTCAAATGCAACTCATGGTTCAACATTCCCGAACACTTAATGCTATTCAAGAACTCGGGTGTGTGGAGATCAGCCAAAAAGCCATTGTCGGAATCTGACTTAGACGTACTGTCTGAGCTCAAATATTTACGACCTTCAACAGAATTCAAATCCGGCATGTATTGATTGATAGACTCAACGACCTCCAAAGTAGGCGCTAATATAGATATGTCTTTCAAATAACTTGGATCGTCAGTTGCATTTTTGAACATTGGATAGGTACTTTCGACGATTGTAGCAATTGGATCATCTAAGGTTTCCAATCGTAAATCCTCTGGAATTTCAATCGCGACACAACTGTCATTTGATCCTCCTACAGTCCCATCTCCAATGCTCGCAATCCACTCAGCAAATGTTGTTAGCTCATCACGTTCGTCTACATCTGAAATGCTCTGAAGACGCATGTTCTTTATAAGTCGCAACACAATACAATTCCTCCAAATGCCAGAAGAATTAATAGTTGCATTCACAATGTCCTGACGACTCCCCTTTGGAATCACTGGAAGTATTTGTCGAAAGTCTCCACCAAATACAACAAGTTTGCCTCCGAATGGCTTGTTGTTGGAAGGGTCAACTGCTCCCATAATAGCCTGCAATGATGTTTGGACAACTTCGAAGCAATGTTTGTGCATCATCGGCGTCTCGTCCCATATAATGAGAGAGCATCGTATTATAAGTTCCGCAAGAGGACTTGCCTGGTCAATATCGCATGATGAATTTTCATGAATACTTAGCGGTATGCGAAATCGAGAGTGTGCAGTTCTTCCACCAGGCAACAAAAGAGACGCTATTCCACTTGATGCGACACATAAAACAATTTTACCCTTCGATGGTAACCCCGCAGACAACATTCTCCACAAGTAGGTCTTCCCTGTCCCGACATATCCGCATACAAAAAATACATCACCATTAACAGAATCAACAACGTCCATGATCTTTGAATAAACATTCTTCTGCTCGTCGGTCATTCTACTAAGAAGTGTTTCGTGCTCTACAGATAAAGCCTTCCGATCGTAATTTAGCTCATCCAATATTAAGCGATTCGAAGTAGGGTTACTATGAT